TAAAATCCTTATTTTGTAGGGCCGCCTTCTTCAAAACACACTGCTACAACATTCTAATAAAGGCTCATTTAACCCCCTCTCTCATGTGTGAATATCCATGTTTAGCAACATTTTGACCCGCGGTAGAAGACCTAGTTTTGCAACATTCTAATTTTTTGTTGTGTAAAACCCTGTATTTCTCATTGATTTTTGTTTTGAGTGCATAATTTAGACGGGCTGAAGGAGGGGAGGGCAGGGAAGGGTGGCTTTCATTCCAAGATCCAGGGATTTGGGGGAAAGGAGGGAAATTGACATGGGGGGTGTTTTTACACCAAAAAATCAAGAGTATGCAAACATTTCTATTTCTCACATTTTTCTGTGTGCCTGGCAAATAAATACTTGTCTTATACTACCCTGAGCTGTTAGCCCTCTCTGTTCAATGACATGGGCCAGATTTTCCAAATCCTTCAAGAAGGAGCACCTGGGCTGGCCACTTCCATGGGCAAACAGACCTCAGTTCTATGCAGTAACTCGGGATCAGGTGTCCAGGCGAGAGTCACCTCTGCACTGGAGGGGTGTGCCAGGATTGTCACACCCCAGCTGGGGTTGAATGGATCTGTGACTCATGGGCCCAAGCTGAACTGTGCTGGGCAGGTTGGCCCTCAACCCCAGCCCATTAGAACCTCGCTCATCACTGTGCTCAGGAACCACCTCTACTCACCTTGCCTGGCTAGACTTCTACTGGCCTCTGAGCTGTTAAGTGGGCCTCATGAATTCAGTACAAACCCGACCGCCATGGGTGGAGGATGGGGCTACCGGCCCTGGCTCTGCCTCCTCCAGCCCAGGGTCCCTGGGGATAATCCCATCAGGGGCCACTTACTGTGACATGTAACTTTTTTTAAAGGAGACAACGTGAGATGCCTTAATCTTCTGTTCATTTCTACTGTATCAAAACTCTTACCCCCCTTTTTTTCTTTCGTTTCCCCCTTTGCAGTATAACTTCTCTGATAAGCCCCAAATGAGTAGTTCTTTGATGAGGCTTATGATGTTGCAGGAATGGCGTATTAAATACCTCTCTGCATGTGGGGTTTGGACATACTAGGAAAGGGTTAGTAATGTTAAGAGGGTTCTCCCAGCAGCAAAGCCTGCCAAAATTGGTCACAGTGCTGGGGTCCTCGTCTCCCCCACCCCCACCCCAGGAGCTTCAGGACTGAAAGGACCTGGTTCCTAGAAGCAGTGAGAATGTGTGAGCACCCAGTCCCAAATGATGATGATGGTCCCAAGTTATCTGTGACCTGAACTCTGAACGGCAACTGGAAACTGTTCAAGATGCTAGCCACTCAAGGGTGAAGGGTTGCATGTTTGAAATGGCCATACGTGTGTAAATGCATGTGCACATAGATACATGTGTGTCTACTTGGAGCTTCCCATTGCTCTGGCCATCCTGCCCATGTCACTGGGTCCCCAGTGTCCCAACTGTGATGTTGGGACCCACACCTTTGATAAGGCCAACAGTTGCCCTCCTCCCAGGGGTAGCCTCTGCTCCTGTCTGTACCCTAAGACCTTCACAAAGCAAAACTTGGCCCCAGTGCAGAGGGAATGAAAGACACCTGAGTACAGCTCTGCTGTGTTGTGGTTCCTGTGTCCCACGAGTCATTTTCCTGTGGACGGAAAGACATGGGGAGGAGTTTTCTATATAAACATTCTCATCACAGGGGTGTAAATCCTGGAAAAGGCCGGCGTTGCTGCTGCACCATAGAGTTTTTATTTGATGCCGAGTTATGCTGCACATTATGGTTGCCTAAAGAACTTGGACTGAGCTTTTTTTTAAAAAAAGGACAGCTAAAGTTTTATAATCCTTAACAATGAAAGTGTAATAGACAGTTACACTAGTTCAGGGTATTTGGAAGGTGGGCGTTTGGGGGATGGGTGGGTGGGGAGGTTGTCACTTGTATTTATTGTGACGCTAAATCTTTGATAATAAATGTAAAAGGTTGACCACCAAACCGGAATAGAAGTTCCAATAAACAGAGGCTGGAATCAATGGCTATGCTTGTGTCACGAGGAAGTTTTAGAATCTGACGGAAAATAAAGAAATGGACAATGGCTTGGCTCTATTTTTCTTTTGTCCCCTCGGCCCTGGTTTCCCTGCATTATTTTTGTCCCAGCTTTGGGACAGCTTGGAGACTGGGGAAGGTGTAGCAGGGTGACCCCTTGTTAATGGGGAAACAGACACCTGCTTCTTGGGCTTCTTTCAGACTTCACTTCCAAAAGTGGGGTGGAGTACCTCCCCAAACTGGGCACTGTGGCTTTCCTTCTGGGCCTCCCATCTTCACCAGAACCTGTGGCTTTGTGGCCTACTTATCCACAGCTGAGAGAGTGAGGTGAGAAGCCAGTGGGTTTTGCCTATCCACTAGCTCTTAACCCCTTCCAGCCTCCACCCCAGAGTGGTAAGTTCTTCTGGGCCTATTTTCAGACTTGGCATCTGCATTGGGTGTCCTTGCTACAGGAGGTGTTAACAGATGCAGGTTCTAGCACAGATGGAGCTGCCCTGCCAGCTCTGAAATGAACAATTCCTGGTGAAAATTTGTTTTCAGATATCGATACACTGTTTCAAAAGTTACTTATAAAGTGGGACCTGTGCTCACTGGTGAATTTTTAATATTTTTAAAAAGATTTCTTTTAGAGCAAGAGCGCGAGTGGGGGAGGAGCAGAGGGGGAGAGACTCTCATGCAGGCTCCCAGTGCGGGGCTCCACCTCAGGACCCTGCGATCACAACCTGAGCCAAAACCAAGAGTCATATGCTCAACTGACTGAGCCACCCAGGTGCCCCACTGACTGGTGAATTCTAATGTGCCTAGAATATGACCCTGTTTTCCTAGGTGCTTTTATTTTCATTTATTTATTTTTTGCAGTTTCTCGTCTTTTTTCTTTTTCTTTTTTTTAAGATTTTATTTATTTGACAGAGACACAGCGAGAGGGAACACAAGCAGGGGGAGTGGGAGAGGGAGAAGCAGGCTCCCCGCCGAGCAGGGAGCCCGATGCGGGGCTCAATCCCAGGACCCTGGGATCACGACCTGAGCCGAAGGCAGTCGCTTAACGACTGAGCCACCCAGGCGCCCCTCTCGTCTTTTTTCTTAAGCCATTCCTGCCTCCAACCTGGGGATAGATGGTCCTCTCCAACCATCACACCTAGCTAGGTTTCACATGGGCAAGGCACAGAACTGACCGAAGACGTTACAGAAATTAAACCCAAACCTGCCCCAGTCTACCTGTGATACATCCTGACTGGTGCCCCATACCCCAACACTGGCTGTGAGCACCACACTTACAGGGTAGTATCTCAGGGACTCCAAATTCAGCCCTCAAGTGAGTTTTCATTGGGTAAGGCACAGGCTCCTCAATTGACCCACTGACACAACAGGGGTGAGTTTCAAGCAGCTTCTCCAGCCAACAAATGGGACAACTGCCCCAATCCCTGAGGTCTCGTCCCCTCCGAACTGATCCACAGGTCTGTGGCCATGGGGTAGGAAGAGACCCAGGCCCCATTGCTCATACAGATTAATCTATGGATAGAAAAAGGCACATACCATACCCAAGGCACTAGGATTCCTTGTGACAAGGGCAAGGAAGGAAAGAACGGAGTGTCAGGGAAGAGGTGACTTAAACCAAATCTGCAATGAAGAAAGGGGGAAAGTGGTTCAGGGAATGGCAACAGCCAGTGCAAAGGCTCAGAGGTGGGACCAAACCTGGAGGGTCAAGGACAAGGCAGGCAGTGTGCCTGGGCCACAGGAAAAAGGGGTGAGGATGTGGGTTTCATTCTGAGTGTAGTGGGAGCCTCAAGAAGGCTCAGGGTGTGGTCTTTCAATGAGCCACACAGCCCTTCCCTACAACCCGGAGGAAAGGTTCCTACCTCCATTTTCCAGGTGCGGAGCCCAAGGATGGTCCAGATCAGAAGAGGCGCCCTCCTTAGCGTAAACCAGAGGGGTTAGGTTTTCTTTCTCAGCTCAGATGTGAACCAGCCAGGACTGGAGGCAAGGCACTTCCCCTCTTTTAGCCTCGGTTTCCTCATCTGCCTATTTGAAGGGGGTTAGGGAAGAGTTGGCACTTAATCCCCAGGGCACCTGAGAACACAAAGCGTGAGTGAGCAGGAGCAGAGAATGGGGATTATTTTGTTGCAATGAGGTTAGTGGGTTTGGTGACAGCGCTGTCTCTCATTTGGGGTGCATGGAAGATGTCTCCCTAAGCCCTAATCCTACCTGCCTCCAAACCCCACACAGTCCCCAAGGAGGCTGGTCATTTTGTGGGTCTGACCAATCTCCCCCAGGCCCTGTGGGGTCCCCTCTCCAGACATACACTTCTACCTCTCCACATCTTCTCCCTCCCCCTCCATTCTAGCCATAGGACTTTCGTGGCATTCCCCAAACACACCAGCTTCAATGTATCTTGGGAACACTCAGAACACGTTCCTTCTGCTGTTTCCAGTGGCTGATTCCTTCAGGGTTAAGCTCAAATGTCTGCTTCAGTCCTTCCTTGGTCACCCGCCCCTCCCCTCACCCAGCATTTAGCACAAGTTACAATCATTTTCTTTCCATGCTATTCATTTTTACTTGACTTTTCACTTGCCTCCTCGCTGAGGGCAGGGATGGATCTAAACCTCTTTGTGAAGTCCCAGAGCTTGGCACACAGTAGGCGTTCAATAAATGCATGAATGAAGAGAGGACTAAAGTAACCACTTGCCCAGCAGACTCATGCCTCACTCTTTTTTTATATATATATATATATATATATTTTTTTTAAGATTTTATTTATTTGAGAGAGAGAGAATGAGAGACAGAGAGCATGAGAGGGAGGAGGGTCAGAGGGAGAAGCAGACCCCCTGCCGAGCAGGGAGCCCGATGCGGGACTCAATCCTGGGACTCCAGGATCATGACCTGAGCCGAAGGCAGTCGCTTAACCAACTGAGCCACCCAGGCGCCCCTCATGCCTCACTCTTGACTCTCCCCTGCCCCAGACAACTTCTTTACCAAGGAAGGGCCCTTACTATGGAGAGCTTCCACCACCTCCCCACCCCACTCCAGCCATATCCAGTTTCAAATTCCAGATGTGTTATTGGGCAAGTGTCATTTGTGTGGGCCTCAATTTCCTCATCTATAAACGCTCAGTTTCTGTTGAGACAGGCGGCCCCCCGCCACGCCCCTCACCCCCCCGCTGCTGAATCCTTAAACACGGTGAGGGTGCTGGGATCCTTGCTCCCCAGCCCCGCATCTCTATTGCCAGGGCCATCACGACCCCGGCACGACCCTTCGAGTTCTCTTGAGGCTGGAGAGCCCAAAAGTCCGGTTTGAATCCTCCCAATTCCCTTTCGAGACCTAGAGCTAGAAGCTTTCTCTACAATGGGGCACCACGCCTGCCTTCCCCCGGGGGACAACCTCCCACCCCTACTTGGTAAAAGGGGGCCATTTTTAGAGGCAGCTGCGAGGAAGAGCGAGTTTATTGCAAGTTCCAGGGAGGCAGCGCCCGGAGCGTGCCTTCCCCCACCAGCCTGCGTGGCTGCCTAAAGAAGGACGCCCTCCACACGCGTCCACTCGCTGGCAGCTCCTCCAGGTAGCCAACGCCTACCCGCAGCCATCGCTCATTCCGCGCTGGCGCAATGCTTCCATTTCTTCTCGTCCCTTTCCCTCCCGAGGCCTTCTCTTGGGGAACAGAGGAAGCGCTTGCACCCTCCCGCTCTCGGGATCGTGGGGAGGGGAGCTAGATTCTAAGCAGGGGCGACTACCGCCCGGGACCTCCAGAAACCGGAAAAGGGGGGAAGTGCGCGTGCCCAGAGGCGCGTGTCGGCTTCGCGGGGGTACCGAAGCACGCCTGGCGCGCGTGCACTGCGCTTGCGCAGTGCTCAGGGCGGCGGGAATGGCGGGAACCCCGGCGTCTAGCTGGAGTCCCCAGCACGCAGCCAGCCGTTGCGCGCTACCTGGCCCGCTGAGGGCCTGGCGGACGGGCTGAACTGCAGCAGTTCTGCGATCAGGGCCTTGCAGCGCTCGGACAGCTCGAGGCCATCGGGGTAGAGGACGCCACGCTTCTGGCGCCTGGGCAGACCAGCGATGTCCGAGTCGTCGAAGGGCATGCACCCGGTGACCATGACGTAGAGCACGACGCCCAGGCTCCACACGTCGTACTTCTTGGGGTCGTATGGGATACCCAAGAGTACCTCAGGCGACGCGTAGGCGGCCGAGCCGCAGTAGGTGGTGCTCAGGTCAGGATAGCCGTGTGCCTGGCGACCAAAGCCAAAGTCAGTGAGCTTCACGCGGCGCTCGTCGGGGCTCAACAACACGTTTTCGCACTTGAGGTCCCGGTGCACCAAGTGGTGGTCATGCAGGTAACGCACAGCCCCAGCGATCTGCGCGAAGAGGTCACGCGCCTGACCCCCGGGGATGCGCCCGCTGCGCTGCACTGCCTGCAGCAGGTCGGTGGCAGCCGCCTCCATCACGATATAGAGCTTCCCATTGCACACCTCTATGAACTCAAAGACGTGCACAATGTGCGGGTGTCGCACGCCCCGTAGGATGGACAGCTCGCGCGGCAGAAACTTGTTGACGAAGTCGGGCGGCGCGCGCCGCCGGTCCACCACCTTGATGGCCACTGTGCCCTTGTACTTCTTGGACGTGGCCACCTTCACCTTGGAGTAACTGCCCTCGCCTATCGTGCGTCCCAGCTTATAGCCGAGTTCGCTCAGAAGTTTGTCGCCCGACATGGTGGCGCCTGGGGCGCGCGGGGAGCAGGAGGCGGCTGCTGTCGGGGGGCGGCCGGACTCCAATATCGGGCCTAACCCATGGCGCTTGGCACCTGCACACCCGCACCCCCATGTGCCCACTCCCGGGTCCCCGCCGCAGCGGTGCCTTTTATTGCCCAGGTAACAATTTCTGCCTTGTGAAGTGACCACGGGCGTCACCCCGCCTTGGGGTGGGGGCCCCCTGGACCCCGCCCCACAGGGCCCCCAAGGCCATCAGGCTTTGTGACTCATAATCGCTCTGGATGGCCCACTTCCCATGAGAGACCCTGGCAAAGGGTCCCGACCACCACTCGGGAGCAGAATCGGTGCCTGGCATTGGGGCGGCTCTTCATGAGTCGAATCTGAGCAGCAGTCGCCCCCCAGCTTCGTGTACCCAGCTCTGGCCATGTGGAGCTTTGGGACGCCCGCACAGACCCGCGAAGGGGAGAAAACGAGAGAGGGGGCTTAACTCGGTGACCCGGCTCCCTCAGGAGCTTGGGGTCTCTGAATGGCCTCAGCACTGCACCAGAGGGAAGGCGTACGGAGGTGCTTTAGGGCAAGGACCCGGGCGACCGGACAGGCTACAGGCGTCTACACCGACTGAGCCAAGCCCCGTCTAAGAGAAGAAATACGGAGTCCTCGGCTACAGCCTGGCCGCCCAGTCGATCCCTGGACCTATTGCCCAAGCTCTCTTTCGCGGTGGGATCGTTACACTAGCGTCCTAGGCGCCCTAGTCCCGCCCAAGACATGCGCGGTCCATTCCGCCACACTCATCATGGCGGCGGCCGCCGGACGTAACTTCCGCTCGCGGCCGGAAGTTGGGGTCCCGCGAGCATGGCAGCATCGAAGGTGAAACAGGACATGCCCCCTCCGGGGGGCTATGGCCCCATCGACTACAAGCGGAACCTTCCGCGTCGGGGACTGTCGGGTCAGTGTCGCACTACGCTGGGGTGTCAGGGTTGGGGCTTCGGGGCTCCGGGGAGTCTCGCGGGCCTCAGTTTCCGCCGCAGTGTGACAGGAGGCGGAGCCCAGGGATTCCCGATAGCTTCGGTAGTAACGAGGATAACTGCTGGAGTTTGTCGAACGCTTATTAAGCTTTGTTTTCTTCACAGGACAGTCCGGGAGGTCGGTCCCGTTAATTCTTCCCATTCTACAGTTGGTTAGACAGATCAATGTAGCCCGTGCCCCGAGCCCTCAGCCACCCTTCCTTTTCACAAGTGGGGAAACTGAGGCCCTGCCCCCAGGGCTACTCAGTGTAAAACTCGTGCTGAAACTGAAACATTGAGGGAATTTAGAAGATGTTCCTCTCTGGTAGTCCCTACCTGCGGATGTCCCAGGAATATGTATTCTTAAATTTTTCAAATGTTTTAAGTAACATTTAAAATTTTGTTATTGGGCTCAACACAAGAAAATGTAAAAGAAAAAAAAAAAGTAGAAGGGCCACATACTTTGCACCTAGGGTTAACAGAGAAATACAAAATTTTATTTTATTTTAAGATTTTATTTATTTGACAGAGAGAGACACAGCGAGACAGGGAATACAAGCAGGGGGAGTGGGAGAGGGAGAAGGAGGCTTCCCGCGGAGCAGGGAGCCCGATATGGGGCTCGATCCCAGGACCCTGGGATCAGACCTGAGCGGAAGGCAGACGTTTAACCGACTGAGCCACCCAGGCGCCCCGAGAAATACAAAATTTTAAACAAGGATGAATACATTTCAGGGGCGCCTGGGTGGCTCAGTCGTTAAGCGTCTGCCTTCAGCTCAGGTCATGGTCCCAGGGTCCTGGGATCGAGCCCGGCGTCGGGCTCCCTGCTCAGCGGGGGGCCTGCTTCTCCCTCTCCCACTCCCCCTGCTTGTGTTCCCTCTCTCGCTGTGTCTCTGTCAAATAAATAAATAAAATCTTAAAAAAAAAAAAAAGATGAATACATTTCCCATAACTCGTCGAACTTTAATGTTATGTACATGTGCCTCGATTAAAAAAAAATATACGGGCATGGTAAAAAAGAATTCAGACAGTGGGAAAGTATCAGGTGAAAACTCAAGCTCCTCCCAGCCCCTTCTTGGCTTTTTTGTTTCCCAAAACATCCGTTAGCAGACTTTTTCTATAAAGGACCAGATAAATATTTTACACTTTGGGGATCAGATGGTCTCTGTCCACTGTTGCTGCCTTTTTTTTTTTAAGATTTTATTTATTTATTTGAGAGAGCTCAAGAGAGCACAAGCAGGGGGAGGGGGAGAGAGAGAGGGACAAGCAGACTCCCCACAGAGTGGGGAGACTGTAATGGTGCTCAATACCAAGACCCCCAAGATCACAACCTGAGCCGAAGGAATGCTTAACCAATTGAGCTACCCAGGCACTCCTCTGCTGCTGCATTTTTACAGCTGTTTACAAACCTGAAAGTGTTCTTAGCCCAAGAGCCATTACAAAAACAGGTTACAGGCTAGATTTGGCATCACCTTGATACTTGACTCATCCCAGAACAGATTCAACAAAAATAATGTGATCTGAATTTCTTCAATTTCTTTTCTCAAGTATCACTAAACACCCAGGCCAGTGTACCCCTCAGGTGTGCAGCATGAGGTCTGTTTACACATGTGCACCTGTGTGACCTGTAGCCAGACTGGGTTGACTGGGCTCCCCCTAGTCAACATGTCTCTTTTTTATTTTTAAGTCACAAATGTGCCCTTCATCCCAGTCCTCTCCCAGTTCATGACATGGAAGTGCCTCCCATGTGCCCTCTATACCATTATCTAGGCTTGGGCCTCCTAGTTACACCCCTTCACACCAACTTGCATTGTAGCATATACAAACCTGCCCCCTGGCTGCAGTGGGGTGAGGAAGAGACCCCTTCTGGTGGCATGGTCTTTGTTATGTCCCTGCATTCAGTAGTTACTTGTTGAGTGTGCATGTGCACTGAGCCCTGTCTGGAAGAGCTCATAGCCTAGCAGAGGAGATGAACATAACGCACCAGAATTTCCCATTTTGGCAAGGCCCGAGCTAACCAGGACCTGCTTTAGCCAGGCTGGGCTGGAAGGACCTCTCTGAAAGTCCCCTAGGTGACGGGAACAGCAAGTGCAATGGCCCTGCTCTCCATCCTGCACCCTACCCTAATCATCTGTCCTGTGCCCTCCTCCAGCCTTGCGTTTGAGCCATAGTCCCCAGTGGCCCTCTCCCCATTAGTCCTACACACAAGCCTGGCATCCACTCCCCTCCTCCCTGCCTAGATCACTCTCCACTAGCGTCCTAGAACCTGCAAAGCTGACTCAGACTACCTTTAATCCACACTGTTCCCAAAGTGACTGCTACCCCTGTCTTTTCCACTCAGTTCTCTTCTCCACTCCCTCCTGTGCCCAGTGGGTGGCCCTTTCTTTTTTTCCCTTGTGTCTTTTAACTTTTTTTTTTTTTTAATTCACAGACAGTACCATACAATTCACCTATTTCATGTGTACACATTAGTCTATTCAGTTTCATAACCATCACCAGGATCTAAATTTATAACACTTCTGGGGCACCTGGGTGGCACAGTCGGTTAAGTGTCTGACTCTTGGTTTCGGCTCAGGTCGTGATCTCAGAGTCATGGGATTAAGCTCTGCATGGGGCTCTGCCATCAGCGGGGAGTCTGGTTGGGTTTCGCTGTCCCTCTGCCCCTCCCTCTCCCCGGGTGTGCGTGCGTGCATGCATATGCTCTCTCTCTCAAATAAATAAATAAATCTAAATAAATAGATAAATTTATAACACTTCCATCACTCCAAAAGGAAACCCTGACCTCATGAGCAGTGACTCCTCATCCTCCCTCTCCCAGCCCCTGGCAACCACCAGTCTGCTTTGTGTTTCTATGGATTTGCCAGTTCTGGACATTTCATGTAAATGGGCTTCTATTTTATGTGGCCTCTGGTGTCTGGCTGCTTTCACTCAGCAGGATGTTTTTAATGTGCATGGTGTAGCATGTGTCCAAGCTTCATTTTACTTGTTTGTTTATTTTTTGGTTGAATAATATTCTTGTATGAATGGACCACAGTTTGCATATCCATTTACCACTTGATAGACATTTGAATTGTTACCACATTTTTGGCTGCTTTGAACATTCCTATGCAAGCTTCTATGTGGATATAGGTTTCATTTTTCTTTTCTTTTTTTTTTTTTTTAAGATTTTATTTATTTATTTGACAGAGAGATAGACAGAAGAGCACAAGCAGAGGGAGTGGCAGAGGGAGAAGCAGGCTCTGCACTGAGCAGGGAACCTGATGCGGGACTCGATCCCAGGACCCTGAGATCATGACCTGAGCTGAAGGCAGACGCTTAACCATCTGAGCCACCCAGGCGCCCAGGTTTCATTTTTCTTGCGAGAAATTTCACCTAGGAGTGGCATAGCTAGGTCATATGGTAACTCCACATTTAATGTTTCAAGGAACTGCCAAACTGTTTTCCAGATTGGCTGTACTGTTTTACGTTTCTTCCTGCAGTTAGTTTATGGAATTTCCAATTTCTCCACATCTGGACAACACTAATTAGTTTCCTTTTTTTTAAATTCTAGCCATCCCAGTGGGTGTGAGGTGATATCTTATTGTGGTTTTGATTTGCATCTCCCTGGTGGCTAATGATGTTGAGCATCTTTTCATGTGTCTATAGGCCATTTGTATAGCTTTCCAGGAGAAATATCTTCCAAGTCCTTTATACATTTTTTAATTGGGTGGTTCATTGTTTTTTGGGTTTTTTTTTAGTTTTTTTAGTTTTTTTGAGTGAGAGAGTGTGCAAGCGCAGGGCAGGTGGGGAGGAGAATCTTAAGCAGGCTCTATACACCCAGCATGGAGCCCAAATGCAGGGCTTGATCCCACAGCCCTGAGACCATGACAGCCTTTCACCAAGAGTGGGATGCTTAAAGATTTTTTTTTTTTTTTAAGATTTTATTTATTTATTTGAGAGAGAAAGAATGAGAGAGAGCACATGAGAGGGGGGAGGGTCAGAGGGAGAAGCAGACTCCCTGCCCAGCAGGGAGCCCGATGCGGGACTCAATCCAGAGATTCCAGGATCATGACCTGAGCCGAAGGCAGTCACCTAACCAACTGAGCCACCCAGGCGCCCAAGAGTGGGATGCTTAACCGGCTGAGCCACCCAGGTGCCCCAGGTTGTTCATCATTTTATTACTGAATTACAGAGTTCTTTATACATCTTGGTTACCATTCCCTTA